CATGAAGTGGTTTTCGATGAAGTACAGCACCTTCAGACTAACCTAATCAGGTTTTCAGGTTTATTTCGAATTTTTACTCTTTGGTTAACGGGTTTTGTTTCAAGTTGCTCTCAAGTCTAACGATTTTGATTCTATTATTGGACTGTTTTTGATTCTATCGTTGGACTGATTTTGATTCTATTATTGGACTGATTTTGATTCTATCGTTGGACTGATTTTGATTCTATCGTTGGACTGATTTTGATTCTATCGTTGGTTTGATTTTGATTCTATCATTGGACTGATTTTGATTTTATTATTGGACTGGTTTTGATTCTATCGTTGGCCTGGTTTTGATTCTATCATTGGACTGATTTTGATTCTATCGTTGCACTGGTTTTGATTCTATCGTTGGACTGATTTTGATTCTATCTTAGGACTGATTTTGATTCTATCGTTGGACTGATTTTGATTCTAACGTTGGACTGATTTTGATTCTATCATTGGACTGATTTTGATTCTATCGTTGGACTGATTTTGATTCTATCATAGGATTGATTTTGATTCTATCGTTGGACTGATTTTGATTCTATCATAGGACTGATTTTGATTCTATCGTTGGACTGATTTTGATTCTAACGTTTAACTGATTTTGATTCTAACGTTGGACTGATTGTGATTCTATTGTTGCACTGGTTTTGATTCTATCGTTGCACTGATTTTGATTCTATCGTTGGACTGATTTTGATTCTATCGTTGGACTGATTTTGATTCTATCATAGGACTGATTTTGATTCTATCGTTGGACTGATTTTGATTCTAACGTTGGACTGATTTTGATTCTATCGTTGCACTGGTTTTGATTCTATCGTTGGACTGATTTTATTTCTACCTTCGATTGATTTTGATCCTTGGAATTATTTTGATTCTACCTTAAGACTGAGTTTGATTCTTTCTTTCAAACATATGTTGATTGTACTCCTTTTATTACGATTGTTTTTCCACCTAACAGAGTAATTCAACACACGGAATAAGTTCCATATATTTAACCTGCATTCGTTCTTTCGTTTATTGCAGGCCAGAGCAATGACTGTTCCGTAGCTCAGTTCTTTCGAACACCAATAGGCAACATCACGTCTCCACAATACCCTGGAGCTTATGGTCACCAACAAACCTGCATATATTACATCGATGTCGCCGACGCGTCGAACATTATTTTAAACTTTTTAGTGTTTCACATAGAGTATAAGTTAGATTTTCTGAAGGTGGGGACAGGATTACAAATCTACCAGAATGAAATCACATATGTGGACGATATTGATGGATTTACCGGCAATATGAATGTCCCACGATTGGTTTTACAAGGTGGTCAAGCATGGATCGTGTTTACAACTGATATTAATATTAGCGAAGATGGGTTTTATATAACATACTCAGCTACGAGTAAGTATGAACTAGTATGGATTGCATATTTGTTATTAACTAAAACTATGTTTTAACCGTGCACATAATTTATTTGATAAGATTAGAAAACTATGCAAATATGTTTCAGTTCGCATATCTGGTGCGTACCATTAAAGCATATTTATATTAAATGCTTATTTGCATATTCCAAGTTAAATCATGATGCACTCAGTTAATCAATATGCAGCATTGAACACAAATATTAAATTGAATTATGTTCACAATTGATAATATTGTAATAGACAACAATGTACAGGTCATACTCTATAAGTATACTCTCACTCAATAGACGACAATGTACAGGTCATACTCTG